GAAAGAGTTCTCTGCAGTCATACCATAGCTTATTGAATCCACATAGAACCTCTTCCCAGAGTGAGCAGCTGTTACAATTCTCCCAACCAACTCTTCTGCACTGGTAGAAGTATCAGCCATTATAAGTTTGCCTTGGGGAAAATCTACATGCTTCTGCACTTCAAGTGCACCCCAACTAGGAACCAATCCAAACGCTTTCACAACATCAAATTGAGCAACAGCTCCTCTAATACCATATGTGGGATGGGACTTCTGCCCAAAAGCCATGCCATGACGCAGTTTCCCAAACCCATACTCCCTTCTATCTCCACCTAATGTACGCTCATTTGTGCCAAGGTAAACATCTGGTCGAGCTCTTTGAAGGGGATTGCACCAAGCATCTATACCAATTATTTTCTCAACCAGATCCCAATCAATTTCTTCAAAAGGATCTACAGACTTATCGCTAACCACAGGGACAAACAAATATGCCTTTGCAGGATCCCAGGGAGTGGTGGAAGGTTCAACATCCACATCAAGCACAATGCTCATCATTCTTACATGAAAACTCTTAAGGGATGCCAACTGTAAAAAATAGTAATTTCACTCAAGTATCAGTAGCTGAAAATCTATGCAGTAAGATGCTTTTTAAATTAATCAGATTCCCGTAAGGTAATCAAATAATTAACCTGACTTTGTGTGATATCTATCGAACCCCTGAAGACAAGCGATGCCTTTGTAGTCATGGTTCGAGCGATAAATAGATCCATCGACATCGATAACACCTATCAGCAGAAAGCTACAGTTAAAGGGTGAAATTGATAAGACCACAGCAAAGATATAAATAAAAACAAGATACCTCTGCATCCAGCTCATTGCCAAAAAGCACTGCAAAATCTGAAACCTGAGTCAAGAACGGATCTTTCGAAGAGCCTATGTTTACACATTTCACATCATACATAAATAAACGCACTTTGGAGTTGTTGCAAACATCCCTTCCAGATAAGATCCATTCTCCCTGAAATAACAAAGAAAGTACAAGTTCTATTAAAGTTCTGGTCCTTGTTAAACTAAAAGTTACAAGGAGACAATCTAAACCATAAAACAAGAAGGATAGAGGTAGGTACCTTAAGAACATCAGCTACTCCTTCAGGATAAAACTCTCTATGCCTAGCAGTCCCAGAAAGTGGATCTTCTTCATGATTCTGGTCAATCTTCTCTCTTTCTTCTCCACTTCCCTTGTCTGGCAAAAGCATGTCAGTAAATGCTCCCATCTCATGCAGCTTCTTGCAAGCAGCCAAACAAACAGCCTACAGATCCACAAAGGAAAACGAAAATGAGAACTATTGCATGCTTTGAGACGAAGGCTTAGCATGTTTATGATAGAATGATGCGTGCCTGTTGTGCAAGGCGCATTGAACTGCATACAGGACCCTCAAGTGTCTCAAATGGGGCATTACAAGGAAGTTGAAGCTTGCATGAATATTCAGTGGGACCTCCAGGCTTCTCATGCCTTACCATAACAAACTCGGGACGAAGTATTGAATACCTGGACAACGAATGCGACAGCAATTAAAATTTTAACCAAAGATTCTTTGATATTGTATTGTAGCAAAAATCCCTTGAAAGATGAATAAATTGACTGAAGAGAAGCACCTGTCACTGGGCAGCTGAGAGCAGTAAAAATGGACGAGTCCAACAGCAGAATTTAAACTCACAACAGCACCAGTTGACTCCACCTGGTACATTGTACCAGGTGTTGTATCAATTGAAATTAGCCTCGAAGTATCCTTTAAATGACTCAGGTCAGTTCTCTCAATTGCTTCTTTCCGTAAGGTTTCCTCACTATTCCTGGCATTCCTTAAGAATGCTTCATGTGATAGATTCCCCCTAAAAAGATTAAAGAAAAGGACTAAGTTCCCAAGCATTATTCCATGAGAAAGATTACAACCAGATCAAGTTAAAAAGTAAAGCTGATAATGAACGAGACCAACTGACCAAGCACCAAGTACTATACTATGTGGCAACAAATGGAACATAAAAGATAGTTTTGTTGTCTAAATTTATTTGAAATTTTGAACCTGATGAAATTATGTACCTCTCAACCATCAAGATATAGTCGGATCCCGGCTTTCTAGCACGGCCCCTAGACTGAATATAAGCCAGTACAGTTTTTGCAAGATCAAAGCGAATCACTACATTACATTGCCGAATATCAAGACCTTCCTCAGCAACACTAGTAGCAACTAACAATGTGACCTGTTAAACAAGTGCAAGATCTTTTCAGATAAAGAAGCATCTAGAAATGATTATTTCCATCTATTTATCAAGTCAGCAAGGACAGGATTTGAACATACACGACCGTCCCGGAATTTGGCTATTGTGTCCTGCATTTGGCAAGTTCGCATTTCCTGACTATTGTTATGACCAATCAAGCTAGCACACCTAATGAAGCTTAGAGATGGAAGTTCTGCAAAAACCTGCATGCTTGACAGAATGTTGCGATACATAATATGGAACTGAGAAGAGAAAACTCAATCAGAAAGGCTCAGAAAATAATATGTATTAATATATAGAACCTTTGGAAGAACCAAAGCAGACACAACACGCTCCACAAAGATGATTGCACGAAAATCTTCTGTGTGCTGATACGTAAGAAGTATCTTAACTAGAGACTGCACTTTTGGTGTCACTTTTCCATCAGCTACAGCAGCTCCTATAATCACATCCACATGCTCACCACCCGAGACGACTAGACAATACAAATAGAGACATAAACAAAGAATCCCAAGTTATTGCAAATTCAATTGCATTAATGACTAATGAACTCAATTACTGAAGAAAAAAAAGAGAGAAAAGAGTTCTGTGTAATTATTGAGTTTACCTTGTTCCGTATAAGAATTGCAACTATCGGGTGGTCTTTTGCCTTTTTTATTTTTTATTTTTTTAAAAAGTTAATAAGTAGAAGCAACAACACTCAGTTAAATGAAAAAAGAATGTAGAATAAAAAAGAGGCAGAACACACTTATGCACTACAATAACCGAGATATAATCTTCTTTTCTGTGCTTCACATGGCCAACATCCGTTCTGTTTTGTTTTTATTCAAATATATATATATATATATATATCTAGAGAGCAGTTCAGTTTGTTTCATTTAAGCAGTTCATAAAGGTTAACAGACTTACCATGACTGTCAGGAAGCTCGCCCTCCTCAATCTCGTTAGAATCAGTGCCATCATAAGGGACTTCACTCTCTGAATCCGAGACTTTCTCCTTGTCAGAGACAGCTCCCTCTGACAAATGGCATTGTAAAAGAGAGACAACCTTGCTCAGGTAGGACTCTTGAAACTTAACATCAAGCTGGTAGTTAGCCCTCTCGTCATTTTGTAAAGCTGCCAGGAAAGATTGTGCAACCTGTGGAGTAAAGAGTAATCATCCAACCAAAATTTATGAAGTTGACAAAGACATGTCTGATTAACAACTATACGTTAAAAATGGCGAATGCTACCTTGTAAGCACACCACTGACCCAGTTCACCAAGTGCATAATTTACAGCCCTCAACTTTTGAACTAAATTTACAGCCCCATCACTTTCTGTTCTTTCTGAAACACCATAAACTTGGCGCAGTTCTTCCTTGGCTCCAGCATCTCTGGCTCCCATAAATTGCCATTTACTTCTTCTGGAGCTTGATTTTGCAGCTTCTTCAACTTCTACTTCTATTTGTTTTATCTGCTCATGAAGGGACCACAAAGTGGCTGCTTTGTCGTACTCCACCACCGTTTCAGAGGGCATCGGGACATATTTTTCTAGCTCTCTACGATCTTTAATGGTACAAACTGTGGAATCTAATTTACTTTCAAGATTACGTATCTTGATTGCACAATCTACCTGGCTGGAGACACCTGAATAGAACCACAATCGTGAATTTTATTGACATATGGAAATTGCAGCATTGCCAAGAAAAAACAATGTTGAAAATAAATTTAAAAAAAAAAAACCTTTTAAATTTACAGGGGAAGCAGTCATCCCAAACACAGATGGTCTCTTCTCCTTGGGTGTTGTATGATAGAACTCGGACATCACCAAAGAATATGGATGTTTCTTCACGGCATGATGGCACTCGTCCAGAATCAAAAGATTGATTGCTTCCATTTTTATTATGCTGTGTCTCAGGATGTTCAAGAGAATTTGAGCAGTCATTACTAGAACCTGCAGTTCAGAGTAGAATATTAATCAGAAAATTCAGCAACAAGCAGGTTAAAGGATCAATAATAGAAGTGAGTCTGGTGACAGAACAATAACGGGACTGGAATCTAACAAAAAGTTAGGACAGCTTAAAAAAAGCTCAAAGTAAAGGCGCACTATGCTGGATGATCTAGATGAATCCCAAAATGAGACTCCAAAGTAACAGACCAGTCAGAAGCCTGCATGCATGATTAATTATTCAGGTTCCCCGTTCAGCCTATATAGTTTTCATTTTACGAGCCACGTCCATTTATAGAATGAAGGAGCATGAACCGTTTGGCTTTAACCAGAAAATAACTTCATAACAGATTTACTGCTGACAAGATACCCTTCTCTTCCTTCCCTAACTTCAGAAACGGGTACGATTGCTTCAATATCAAGTAAGAGTGAACGATTCACACTTTTGCGTAAATGAAGATCCTAAATAGTGTCAAAATTGTTCTAGTTTGCATTTTCATGGACTAATTTGTGCACACATATATCAACTCCATAATTAACAACCTCAACCTCTACATCACGACTAACACAGAAAATCCCTCAAGCTGAAACTATGAATAACAGATCCTCAGCGGCAAAACAAAAAACAGAACGTATAAAGTATAATGGAACCAAAACTTCATATTTTACAGCCATGGAGGCACAAGGAGCACGCAGAGTAATTGCTGATAGTCCTAGAAAAGCAAGGCAAATGAATTGAGGAAAGCAAGTCGTTAATTTACGATTACAAGTAAGTTTGTCTATCATAAAAGCATAGTATGTTTTACCCCAATGAGAGACTTTAAAGATTACCTGTTTTGTTTCAAACTCTCGCTGCCATCTTCGAGCATCCCAGAAATCCTGACCCATTTCACCGCAGTAATGACCAACTTGGTAACCGGTTCTCTCACGAATAGCTTCAGCTTGCTAAGAAATTAGACAGACACCACATAAGCTTTGAGTAAGATTTCAAGAGGGCAAAAACCGTCAAATTAACAAGCAAAGAAAACAATACCTGATAAACAAGCGGAACTTTAGGAACTAGAAACACAGCGAGCATTTTCCTGTTCTGCATTTGCAAATCATTGCTAAGGCTTTTGATTAGGAGAACAGCTATCAACGTCTTCCCCGCCCCCGTCTCGAGGAAAGCTATAGTGTTTTTCTTCTTAGCCTCTTCAAGAACATCCAATTGGTATTGTCGCGCTTGTTCCTCGGGTAGTTTCTCTTTAATCTCTTCAGATTTATTCTCTTCTTTCCCATTACATTCCTCATTTCTGTCATTGCCCGGCTTCGCCTCTCTGTTGCGGTCAGCTTCGTAGGCACCAATGCGAAAAACCATCTCATTGGAACCCGATTTATCCCTCTCCCAGTAGCCCTTTGGCCCCCTATCTCTCAAGTCCCTTTCTCTGCCGTCCCTCCTATTGCTACTGTAATGTTCTTTCCTCCTAACATAATCTCTATCTCTCCGTTCAATCTCGTCCCAATCCCGCGCTCTCTTCCGGCCAGCACACCTCTCCCGGCCGTGATACTGTCCCCTGCCCGACCCATGCCTCTCACTCTTCCCATTGCCGAATCGAGCCGTCTTGCTGCTCCTGTCATCACCATTCTCAAGCTTCCGAACTCCATTTTCGCCGTTCTCGCGGCAAGGGGCGGGACTCCGCTCCCCGCTGCCATTAGCGGGCTTGCTCGCGTGTCGAACGTCGCCGTTTTGAAGACTGTTCTGGAAGGTTCCGTTGGACTGGGAACTCGAAGAATCGACCCGCATCATCTCCTCCGACGCTCCGTTCACGTAGAAGCTTCCTCCGAGGCTGCAACCGTTGCCGTTGAACTCCGGGGGGAGCGGAGGGAGGCCGTCACCGTTCTTGAAGCTGTCAAGAATGTGATCGATTCCGCCGAAGAAATCGCCGACGAGGCCGTCCTCTTCCTGGTTGCAATTGCTCCCATGGCGGTCGCCACCCAAGGAATCCGGCAAAACCGAAGCGTCGCCAAAATCCACCAATTCGCCGATTAGGTCGCACGATATGTCCTCGCAGGCGTCCAGCCAATACGACGGCCGGACTTCCTCCGTCGCCGGCGTTCGTGCGGAGATAGGATCCCCCTGAACCTTTGATTCCCCGTCCATGGTTTCACTACAATAAGCTAAATTTCACGTATATATATATATATATCAAACACTTGAAAAAAGCTGAAATTCTTCAATGGATGAACAAAATCGAAAGATCAAAACCTAGAAATACTTTGGAACAAAATCAGTATATAATTCACCATCAAAATTGAAGAAAGAAAGGAAAAAAAAAATGAAAGCTAGAACTGGAAGAGAGAAAGAGAGAAGTTCAAATGAGGTAGAAGATGGAATATTTGAGTGATGAAAACCAGAAATCCGAAACCCTAAAATTGGATTGATTTCGTTTTCAAGTAATTGGGTGGTTCTGAGAAAGATTCCACGGTCAAACTTTATAGCATATTTTTCAAGATTTATTTATACATATTCTTCTGCTTCTTCTTATTCGACCGGGATCTCCTCAGATTCACAGCAAGACAAGCGTTCTCTGCTTTGCTTGACGCTTTGATCCTTATGGCCTTTTTGTATAGTTACTTTCCCGGTAATAGCAATTTTCCTTTGCTATTTTGTTCACTAAATTAATAAAATCCCTACAAAAAGTAATAAAATAACTATAAAAAATAAAAAATTCATTTAATGAAAGGAAAATTGAGGTTTTTTTTTTTTTTTTTTTTTTTTGCTCGAGAGGAAAATTGAGGTATAGACCTCGTTCATTTTACCGATTTGAGTTTTCAATTTTAGGTTTCTACAGTAAAAAATTCTCAGAAAATGTCACATTTAACTTTTTTCTGTTACAGTAAAAAGCTATCAGAAAATGTCACATCTCAGCTCGAATTAAAAACTCTAATCCGTGAAGTGAACGAGGCTCTAGTCTCTCTCAAACACAGGTTTTTACTAGACTACTGTTTTGCCCGCTACCACTGCCTCCCTCCTTCTCTCATTAGGGTCCGGCACTACTTTGGGGCTGGTTGTTGTGCCCCAGTCCGCGAGAGCAAGGCAACACATGGGACGTTGGTTTAGTTTGGTATTATTTTTTTCTCTTAAAATCAGTTTCTGTTATAAATAGAAGTTGATTTTAGTGTTTAATAAATCTCCTTAAAAGTAATTTTTGAAGAATTTTTTAAGAATTTACAGCCAAAATAAAAAATAGTCTAAAAATAACTTTAACTTTTAGATTGTACGGCAATCAATATAGTACAATTAATGATACTTTCATAATACCCCTAATAAAATTTAAAATTTACAATCTTTTAAATCTAAAATTCAGACTCGTAATATAATATAATATAATATAATAGTAATATTGTAACAAATAATATCATAATTATATTAATAACTCTAATATTATTATTTTATCATATAATAT